TCCGTAAGTAACAAGTTTACCCTTTAGACTGTATTAAGGGAACTTTCATCTTCAGCAAAGTTGCAAGTCATTGACATTATCTCTTCCTTGGGCAATAAAGAACCTTGATTTCTGGATATGAAATAATTTAAGCAAGAATGTACTGAATTATGCACACATTAATTGCTGCTTTCACAATCACTAAAGAGCCAAACTTGACATACATACTGAAATGTGCTTTAAATAATGTCTGCTTCCAATATGATGGAGTTCCTTTCAAGCCATATGGTTGTATAATCTTTTCTTTAAAAAACTGCTTTGAGTAAAATTTATCATCTTTTCAAAAGTTATGTGTTTTGGGAATACTACATTTTATTGCTACTTAGACTAACTGAATAAATTAATTTAGATTCATACTCTTATTCTGATGGGAATCTCTAATCTTAATTTTATATATGCATATTTATAATATAGCCCCAGATTCATAATATCTGTATCTCATATGTGTGTATATTTATATATATGAGTATATCATATATAGAGGGAGACAGAGGAAGAGATACTTCACAATTCTAATCAGTACAAAGTGATTTGAATTACGAGTTGGTATAGAAAGATTGTTAACATCAGTTGATGAATAAGGCTAAGTTATTCAGCAGTGCCAGTTCATTGCCCCACAAAAAAATAATGTCTTTATTACTCAAGTAATATGTCTCAATACTATTGCAGGTTTACATACAACTCCAGCTGCTGGAAAGATGAAAGTACATCTTTTAAAGAATTAGCTTTTTCCCCATGTTTTCTTCCTGAAGTTGTATTACAAACACAAACTCTACATACAGTGATACATAGAAAGAGGTATGGATCTAGTCTTGATATCATATCAATACTATATGATATCAATATCACATACCTTTACCTTACATAATAAAAGCCATTATTAAGTAGCTTGCTCAGGCTTTAAATGTCCTGGATTCATGTACCATATCTGTTACTTACTGTAAGGATTTTGGAAAATCTTTCACTAGTCTAGGACTTAGTTTTTCAGTCTGTAAATTGGTGGCTACCCCACTAGGTTAATGTGAGGGTCAAATGAAATAATGCCTAGCACACAGACTTTATAAACATAAACATTTATTATTATAGAAGCTTACTTATTAAAAAATTCTAATATTTATTGAGGATTTATTACATGCCAGGCCTTGTTCTAAATGAAATGAGGATTAGAGCAACCTCCATTTTACAAATAAGATAAAACATGACACTAAAAAGTGGAGTTACTTGCCAACTATTGAATAGCTATTAAAGTGTAAAGTTGGATTCTAGCCTAATAGTTTAGCTCCAAAATGTATCTGTATGCCGAACCATTATACTATGCTGCTCATCTTATACCAAAATGTAGCAAAAATAAATATGAAAAAGAAAAATGCTTCCAATTTTATTACTAGGAGATAAAGGTTTGAATATTATTCCTCATAAGAATTTTAATGGATTTATACATTTTACCTCAATATGTTATAATTCCATTAAAACTCAGAGTATATTTAAAGAAATAATCTTTTGCTTGACTTAAGAAATGAATCAGGTTAACAAATGTCTGGCCCTGACTTTTGCTATATTCTTTTTTATTACCATAAGTTAAAGTAGATTTTTCTTCTTATCTATCTAATAATTTTAAACTGTGCTATAATTTTAATTAATTAGTATTTAAATATTTATAAATAAAATCTAGAAACTTAATTAGCATAGAAACAAAATGTCGAGAGAATTTTTTAAGGCTCCAAAATAACAAAAAGCAAAAGCGAAAACAAAATCTCAGAATAAGAGAATTTTAAAACTTAAAAGCACAAAGAAATGCAAAAAAGAGAAGGTCAACTTAGTTTAGTTCATACATACCATGCCCAACAGAAGTTTGAAAGACAAACAAAATATTAGGAAAATATTTTAATCTTAAAATGATGAAAAGAGCAAAATTAATATTTTTAATATGTCAAACACACATACAAATTGATACTAAAACTGAAACCTATTAAATAAAAGGGCAAACTATATTATTTGTTAATTAGCAAAACATAAATACATATCGCTAATGTAATTGTTAAGAGAACATATTGGCAACAAAATGCAAATACAATTAATAAAATGTCACTGTTTTAGAATAATGTAGACCTTATTACTGACATTGAGATTGCAAGAAAAACATCAATTTTATTCTACTGGTATTATTGTAAAAAAGGTACAATAGCATCAGTCACATTTTAAGGATGGCTCCCCAGATAACAGCTTACCCTCATTGCATACAAATGCCTGAATGCTCCTAGCCGTTCTAATCCATGCACAGCTGTGGGCCTGGAAACCATGTTGTATGTATGGACACACCAGTAACCAAGACCAATTATAATGTGTCTCTCATAAATGTAGACTAAGAGGCAGCAAGGTAATCTCTTTCCCTGTCCAAAACTTAAGGCGTGATATGGGAAGATCAGTGATGTGGCCATAGATAATCAGTTGAGCTATTTTATAGCGTGTGAAAAGTGAGACATACAGGGAAGACAGGGGAGTCAGAAATATATGCCAGATGGCTTTCCACTTCCTCTTCGGACTCTCCCTATGGCCTGACTTCCCTTTTTTCTGACTTCCCAACACCACTCTTATGATGTACATTGTGGAAATATCCATGTCCTGTCCTGGCTTGCATTTCATTGTACATATAGTTAAAATTTTTAAAACCACTATAAGCAAAATTATGTCTGCTATTGAAATTTTAGAAATTTTAGATGGCATTGTAAACCCCTGGGAAAGGTTTTTTTGTTTTTGTTTTTTTGTTTTTGTTTTTTTATTGTGCACTAGGTTTTATATTCTACTTCATTATCTGTCATTTGGTTAATACACTTGGCCAAATCATTCCAATAGCTCTAAATAACAATAGCAAAAATATTAGGTTCGGGCCTCCCTCATGGTACAGGGGTTAAGACGCAACTTATGAAGCAATCTGTGGCCTCTGCAACATGAGTTCAATCCCTGGCCAGGGAGCTACCCACACGGTGCAGCAGACCTCTCCTGACTTGCCTGCTTCTCCCCTTAGCAGTGTACTTCGGTCTATCTGCCTGTTCTGTTTCCTGCTTTGTCTCTGGTTAATCATCTCACCCCCCGCACCTCTGGTCTGTACCCCAGTTCTTTTATGCATAAATAAATAAATCTTTAAAAATATATATTAGCATCAATTTGTCAAGTGTTATTCTCTCTAAATATCATTTAGCTTAATTTTTAAAAATAGTTATTTTTATTTAAATAGCTTAATAAGATTTTTTTTAAAAAACGCATTGAAAAATAACTTATTGTGACTAAGTGATTCTGAAAATTACAAAAATTCTGATAATGAAATAAATCCATTTCTGTAAACTTCTCTCTGAGAAGGCTAATAGCACTTTAAAGATACAGAATTCAGAATGAAGAGGTATGTGATTTTTAGAATAAATTTTGAGTAATGATTTGGGCAAACTTACAGCATCTTTTCATACAAAATATCAATTGTTTGCTTGCAAAATGTTCAAGTTAAAGTTTTTTTTAAATGTATTATCAATATTAACATCAAATTTAGCACAAAGCAAATATTTTCCAATTTATCTTGAAATATTCCACACTACAATAAAATTTCAAAACAAGATGTAAACCAATATTAAATCAATAAAAAATGAAGCTTGGTCTTTTCTTATGTCAATAATATATATGCCAATTAGGATACTTCCGTTTGCTGTATTGCCCCAGTATATATGCAGACATTAATATTGTATTTACACATTTATTTATAGAAATCATGATCATTATAAAATATTGATACTGATATATTTATGATTATATCAACTGTTTATAGGCTATTTTTTTTTCCCATTCTCACTTAATGTAAATATAGCCTATGTGGAAAGTTTGCACACAGTGTTACCATGGTTATTGCAGGTTCTGGTTAATCGCTAAAATCAAAGTTCTGGCACCATCAAGTTTAGTGGGGATGGTGTGGTGCATGACTCACACAGACATTCTGAGATTCACATGACATGACTGGAAAGTGACCAGGATAATGTCAACCTCTATTCATGACTTACTACATGTTCATTTTTTTAAAAAGATTTATTTATTTATGCATACACGAACTGGGGTATAGGCCAGAGGTGTGGGGCGGGGTGAGAGGATTCACCAAAGACAGAGTGGGAGACAGAACAGGCTGATGGACTGAAATACACTGTTGAGGAGAGCAGGAGGCAAGTCAGGAGAGGTCTGCTGCACCATGTGGGTCACTTCCCTGGCTGGGAATCGAATTTGTGCTGCAGTGGCTGCAGATAGCTTCACAGTGCTGCGTCTTAACCCCTTGTGCCTCCAGGGAGTCTCCCCACATGTTCATTCTTGATAAATACATTGAAATCAAGGAAAAGCTACAGTTACTCATGTTCTTTTCTACAGAGCTATAATTTTATTCAATATTTTACTAGTTCCCATTATATATAGTGACAAATTGGTTTTCATATTTTTTTCAAACTTGCATTCTTGAGTGTTAATCAGGAGTTGACAATGTATTTTTTCTCAAATTTAATGTCAATTTCAATATTTATATTTCTGAAAAATGTATGTGGTGATATTAACACTTCTTGTTTTATTTTATTGTGCAAATTTAATGAGAAATTATTAAAAAGAAAGAAAATGACATATATAAATGTGTCATTGTGTTAGTAGCAAAAGATGTCTAGTGTTTTCAATTCATTGCAGCATTATTTCGTTGAGGACACTTTTTGAAGTTCTTGATACCTTTCTAAAAGGCCTGAATTGCTGAAGTTGAATGGAGTGTCAGATTTCTCCCTTGCCCTCAATCTATACACCAGAATCAGCTTCTCTTTCGGACATGGATTACGTTTGGGTTAGAAGGAAGACAGTCAGATTGATAAAGCAATACCCCTGAGAAAAGATGATTAACATGTATAAAGGGATTTCCTGGCAGTATAAATACCAGCACGCACCCTCCTGGTGCTTCAGAGCTCTCCTGATGTATATATGCAGGTCCTGAGGTCGGAACTGGCCCTGTGAGACAGTAACATAATAAAATTCTGACTTGACGAGCAGCAGTTCTCACTTTCCTACTTTTTTTGTGGGAATGAGTTGCCAACCTTTTACTTCTGCTGATACCTTTATACCTCTGAACTCTGAGTCTTCTGCGACTCTGCCTCTGATAATGCATCCCAGCGCTGCTGAATGCCTACCCGTCTCCAACCATGCCACCAATGTGATGTCTACAGGTACTGACCCCCGAAACAGTCTACAGGCATTCGGCCTGAAGGTTTCAGAATGGCTACTTTGAATCTTGTTAGTTTAGAATCTCTGTTTCTTTTATTTTCTCCTTCAGTTAAAAAAGTTGAATATCGAGGATATTAAAAAGGCCAAAATGCACCCAATTATGTAAGTGTAGAAATTAATTGATGGTTTTATATAAAGTAATTTTTGATAAGTAAAGTAATTTTTGATAAGTAAACAGTGAGTCTGACTATTTTGATCCCAAAGCCATTTTAATGAAAAGTTTGTGGATAAAGAGTAAAACTAAAGAAATTATCTAAAATAATTTAGTGTTCAAAAGGTGTTACTTCTTTAGAATTTAAAGATGTATTTGGCTTTTGGATTACACTTGTAACATGTCATATGCCTCATAGTAAACACAACTAAATGATTCCCAATACCAACAAGAATCGATTTCAAAGAATAAACTAATTAAATAAATTTTAATGAATTTTCCTAATTCAAAACTCAGAAATCAAAGCTAGAAGCAATATAACATTTAGAGTCCATTAAGTGAGTTAAATGCTCTCAGAATTGAATTTGAATATAACCACATTTTATATCAGTTTATAAAACTGTCTTCGACGAAAATTAAACTTGAGAATTTAAATATATTGTCCCTAGCACAATCAAATCAGTATGCTATGTTGATGCATTCATTTTCTGTACAGTACAAAGTGTTCTGAAGTTGATTTATAAATGGCAGGCTTGAATTGAATACATTTCTTCCATTAAAAAGCAATGTACTTTCCACTTGTTTTAAATTTTATCTAAATATGAACTAAAGTTAACATATTTACAAATCGGAATTCACTTTTATACAGTTATGTTCTGATTTAAAAGATTTAAGTTTTATCTTTTATCATAATGAAGCCGTTCTGAAACATTTATGTAAGTTTGGCATTAATTTTCAACTGAATTTATGTGATTCTTAAAGTATGTATCTAGAAGTCATATTCTGAACATCAACAAAATCATTAATGTAGTTTTTTTATATACTGCAGTTCTCATAATTAACTAAAAAGGTACTAATGAAAATATCCTCAAACATGTTTTTGGGAAACTTAATAAGGCATTTTTCCTAAAAAGATATGTTATAAATAAACTCAAACAATTACAACATAACTAATAGTATAGTGTAAATAAAAATATTTCTACAAATTGGGAATGAGAAAAACTAATACATTTGTTTAATCTACTATGCAGGAGGGGTATTTAACCAGAATAAAAATAAAATTTTGAATTGAGGTAATGATTTGGCAAGTTTAGACTCAACACCTTATTTATTTATTTAAATATGTAAAACAAAATAAAATAAATAACATATTTACTAAATTAGTCCATTCTTTATCCAACTTCCACAAATCAAAGAAATGAGTAGTATTTAAATGTTAGAAGTTAAAAAGTCATAGTCATTAAAAACAACCTAAATGTGCATTAAATAACAACATCAGTTTTATAATTTTTCTGTCAAATTATAATCATATATCTAATTGTCTAAATAAGGATTTAGAAATACTGGTTATAATGAGAAGAGCATTTGTGTATAAAGTGTGTTTCATGTTTGTTTAGTTTGGGGCTGCATAGTAAGATTTTTTATTATAATCACTATAATGCAAAATCACCAGTTCTTTCTATAGGTCAGTTGTTAAATGAAAATTTATGTAAATATCTCAAAATATGAAAAATTGGTGTATAGTTAGATAAAATGTTTTATGTTCCAGAGAGACTTCATGTCTTTAATGACTAGATTATATCTCAGTATTTTAAACAGATCCTAATTCTGAACTTTATATCTGTTATATTTATTCTAGATATGACTATGTTTTATTTATAAAAATTCACTACTAGGATATGAAGAAAAAATTAGAAAACAAAATGCATATGGGAACATTGATTAGTGATTTTATTGTCAATAGCTAATATTCTAGTCAACTGTGTGATTCATATTTAAAATGATAAAAGTTTAGTAATTCAGATTTACTCTCAAAATATACATTGAGTCATACTTATGAACAAGGATGTTCTTATATACTAGATTCAAACTTTATAGACATCATGTCATTCAACTATAACTTGTTTTTGAATAGTTTTACTGGAATTGTTGAATGGATTGTGTGCATTCAGAAAGCCAGCATCCTCATGGTTTCAATATTAACATACATAATCATACATTATCATGGGTTTTGTAAAAACCTCTTAATTTGGGGGGGGTTTATCATTGCAATCAATAAGAGGCTTGTTGCTCTGCCATTTTCTCTTTGATGGAAGACATTTATTAAAAAAAGCAAGAATATGCTGTTCATGATTTGATTTCTATATTCATTCTCCCAGAAAAAGACCACTTTATGATGTCATAGTATTCAATAATTTTAAGAAACTAGTCTAGTTAGTTTGTCACAAAGTCCTTCTTAGATAGGACCTACAAAAATCCTGCAACTCAAAATCAGTCAAGCAGAAACTTCTCAGTTTTTTGTTTAGAGAGCACAGAATAGTTAATGAAGGTTATCTTTCACCTTGATGGTTGACATATGACTGTATTTATTATTTGTAACAAACTTTGTCTTGTAGTTTTAATGAACTGATCAGGGAATGTCAAATGAAAACAAATTATTGGCATATCTCATAAATGTATATTTTTAATGAAATGAATATGTCTTGAATCCTCATACATTTTCTTACCAGTCCCGTCTATTTTGTCTTTGATCCAAACTCCTAATTGCTTGTGCACATATTTCTGGGTGACAACACTGGGAAACACAGCAACTGGACTTCATTATTCTGTCCCTTCCTGTCATTATGGAAATCAGGCATCAACCTATGGAGTGATGGCAGGTAAGAAAAATTGTCTATATGTATGAGATTAAGTTTGAGGACCCTAAGATGAATTTCTTGGCTTGGAGGGAATCTCATCCAGAGTATATCTTGAAGTTCTGACCATTTACCTTGGAAATGGCTGGTAAAACCACCACTTACTCAAATGTTCCCTGATCTGTGATACCTTCGGAAGCCATAATGATTTTATCTGGTTGTCCCTGTTGTACAAAACCCTGAACTACTATATTTCTTAACTCTTGTGTTTCAATCTGAATGATGATTTTTATTCTAACTCACTAGAGTCAAATTGTCCATTGTCACTTGTTGATATTCTTATGGTAGCCACTAGCCTCTTTTGGCAATTTAAATGTAAATGTCAATTAATCAAAATAAGCTCAGAATTAAAATTCAGCTCCTCAGTAGCACTAGCCACATTTCAAGAGTTCCATGATCTCTTGTGTCTGTCTACACAGTAGACAGCACAGATTGATAGAACATCTTCTCATTAAAGTATTTCTTCTGAACATTTTGAGCACAAAATAAATAAGACATTGAAGGCTAAAAATGTGATATGTGGGGACTTTAATTCTCATTGTTTGAATATCTGGCAACCCTATCTACATTGCTTCTAAGTCTTAAAAGTGATTGAAATAGTTCAAATCACACATATTTCTCCTCTGGATAATAAAGTTTCACTAGATCAAGATCCAACTGCTGATTTATTGATGCGTGTATGCAGGCATTGATAGCATACTTCTTAAGGAAGAGGTACTGTGACCAGAGAGATCCCCCCATTACAGAACTTAAATTTAGGATTTGGCCAGAAGAACAATTTTAATGTTTTGATAAAGCACATAATTGTGTTGTACACAGATTTTTTAGGTATATTTTTATCTGATATTTATACTGCAGCAGGGACAGAATTACTATGGACAACAAGAAACTATAGACTAAGACTATGTGAGACTATATTTGTGTGTGTGTGTGTGTGTGTGTGTGTGTGTGTGTGTGTGTGTAAGAGAGAGAGAGAGAGAGAGAGAGAGAGAGAGAGAGAGAGAGAATGATACTTAGAGAAAAAACTTTGGCTGAAAAATCACTTATATTATTAGGGAAATGTTTTCTAATTGTTGTGTATTGTTATCATCCAGAGAAGTAATGAAAATGACATGGATTTTTGTCTAAAATTAAACAAATAATTTATTTCATTAGGCTTTAATTTCTCAAATGTTTTGAGCTTAAAACTAAATAGGACATTAAACCTTTAAAAAAATATTTCAGAGTAAATTAGATTCTCTTACATTCTACTTAAGAACACCCTGAATAAAGTAGTATCCTCATATTTATGGCAAAAAAATGAAGACTGCTATTATTAATGGTTACCTGTAAACCCTAATATCTCTTCTTGATCATTAAAAAATAAGGAAAACTATCCTTTTTCTTCCTTTTGAAAACTGATCATTTATGTATGATTCATATACTTAGAAGTTAATAAATATTCATAGTTAATGAGAACAGTCCTCCTTGATGATGAAGTACTTTCATTATAAAAAAGTAAAATGATGTGCATTTAGCCACTAGAGGTGCAGGCAGAACGCTGCTCGTGACCTCCACCACATTTTGACTGCAGAGACAGGAAGTGACAAGTGCGTGGCTGCTTGCTGCTCCCTCAGAGAATAGGCCTTACTTATTTACAGCCATTCCCATGAACACAGATCTATAAATGCCTTTTAACCAACAAGAGGCAGTGATGTATTGAGATTAGCCCAAAGATCAAGTCAGCTATAGACCAAGTACTTTAAGATGGATCTTGCTAGAGACCTTCCCCTGACAATCAAATTAGTTTGCCTGTCAAATCACTTCTCCTCTGGCGTGAGTTGTCTAACATCCTTCAGTTTCCAGAATTAGAGTAAATATCCCCTGGTTCATGAGTACCAGCAGCTCAGTTGTTCTGGTACTAGTTCCCTAGGCAAGCACTCAGCAAACCCTTTCTCTTGTAGTTAAAAGCAGAAATCCTTGGAACAGCTCTTTAAAATGATCAAAAGTCTGGGTTAGTGACATTAAGAGCAAAATGTCTCTACTAAGATTTACAGGTATCTTAGAACAAAATTTCTTTTGTCACTCATAGAAAAATTCCCAGTGACAAGCATAGAGATTGTATTTGAATATTTTTTGAGAGCAATATCATTAAAATGTGTTATGCTTTGTAGTTTGTTAGAATGTTGTTATTTTGACAAATAGTTGGTGTTAATATTTGCATCCTAGCAGATTAAATCTCAGAGCATCTGAACTCTCCTGCCATTATCTCCAGAGAAAGTACAAATTGAGTATAAAACACCGGGATTCACAAATAAGAGAGAAAATTACAAAATACACAAAAGAAACATGGCTGTGCTAGTTGAATGTTCTGAGAAGTCTTAAAGTTTTCATCAAATCAGTCACTGCCATACAAGCTGCAGATGCATCTTATTACAAACAGCAAAGACAGGTTCATGGCCACAGGCTCCATATAAAACTTGTAAAGTCTGCTATAAGAACCACATTTCAAAGGATGTGAGATTGTTTTATTTAAGTGTGGTTATCATATTACCCATACTCTGATGCTTACCTTTAGTTTGTGCATTCTATAGAACTAATCACCCACTAGAAGGGAAGAGCTACAACTAATATATTGTTAGGGTTGGTAGGGAGGACTTAAAACATTAGATGAATCACTGTGCCTCATCGTTCAGGTGTGAGCATACCAAAAAGAATGACTAATTGGGGGCAATGAACTAATACCATTAGCTAATTATGAAATTTGTTTGAGTCATTTAACATTTCTGAGCTTCAGTCTCTTCATATGCGAGCTGGAGTGAGTACTAATGACTCTCAACCAGCTCATCCTGGCCTTCTCTTTTGATCTTCTCTTCAGAAATATTTGCAACTAAATTCTTCTTCAATCCTGAGAATTTAAATATCTCAACGAGTCTAAAATACAGATCATAAGAACTGGGATCATCTTGTTCAATATCTTCTAGATCAACATCCACACACAAAAGCAAAACAACAAAAAAATCCCCAAAACTCTGATTCTTGGGTATCTGAGATATTTTCATTGTCCAGTTTCTACAGCTGGGTGAAAGTGAGAAAACAAGCTCAATGGTCTGTCCATCCTGTTCACAGTTCTGTGGAAAGTGAGCAAATCAACGATGTGATATTACATGTTAAACTCAGCAAGGTCCTATGACATGACAAGACCAAGTTTATTTTAAAAATAAATTTTAAGAGGAAAACAAAATAGCTTGTGCTTGAGAATGAACCACAAAGATGAATGTCCTTTCTTTTCTTATGAGAAGTGAATAATAAGAGAAAAGATTGTGGTTGAAAGTGCCCTCTGCATCTAGGCTAATGCAAAGGCAAGAAAAATCGATTTGGAAGTTGACATGGAGAAATGGTCTACTTTGGAGACATTCTGTTGATTCTTTGCTTTTTGTTGTTTTTCCTTTAAAAAAAAATATTTTGGCTTTGTATTGCTTTCTTTTTACTTATTCTGGTTGTGCTGATTCTTCAGGAAGGAGTAATTCTGAAGATTTTTGGCTTGAATCATGAAAGGTCTTTCAGTGGCAATAAGATGATGTATTTCCCTAAAGTTTCTCATTTGTCTCAGCTACTCAACTCAGCCATTATAGCAAGAAAGCAAATATATTGATAGACAATATGTAAACATGCATAACTGCCTTCCAAATACACTTAAATTACAAAACCAGGCAGAGAGCCTCTGTTGCACAAAATAGGATCTGTCAATGCTCAAAGCAGAAAAGATCACAGTTCATATTTATGATTTACTTCAGTGGTGGGAACGATAATAAAAATAAAGAGAAATATTCAAATATACATTCCAAAGCATATTTGTAGCAAGGTGGTGTCCTTTAACTGTGTTCCTCACCTGCCCTGATTGTTCTAAGCATTCAAACCTGTAACCTCGGAGGTGTCATCCACTAGCATCTGGCAGAGCCACATGCTGCAATGGAGCAGTTTGCCCCAGGCCAGGAGATGGAGTCAGAGCTGTCCCTGTGAGGCAAGACAGACCTCGCTTCCCCATTGCCTGCTTTAAAAGATTTACCTCTTTTCCCTGCACCTCCACCACAATACCGTGCATACAAAGCAATTCAGAAGAGCAGTAGTGGAGTCATCTGCAGTGTGAAAATATTTTTTAAGCTATAAAGAATGTGCTGACATTTCTCAAGCTATTTAGGTATTAGCTTGTGTAGAACTATAGATAGTTTTACTTTAACAATGTTTTAGAAATTGTTTGAGACCTCTGCCTCACATGACAAAGCATATCTTTTCTCTCGTCCCGCCGCCTTTCTTCTTTTCCAATAATCCAGGTTTTAGAAAAATTAAAAAAAAAAATCTTGCCATATATAGCACACCTTGCCCCCAAATACAGGATCACAGGATCAGAAACTCAGTTTGGCTGTGCTTGCGACTGTCATGAAGTTCTGTTTAAGGTTAGTTCCAGGAAAACTGTGTCCTGTAGATAATTGTGGATTCTCTCACTCAATGAAAAATGAAAACATATCACACATCAGGTTTTCCTTTTTAACTCTGGATGCCAAACCTTTGAACATGTTATTTGAACATGTTATTTATACATTGCAATGTATAAATTCCCTTTAAAATATTTCAGAAGTAGAAATGGCATATTCCTAATATTTAAAAAGTAATTTTATTTTATTTTTTTCTGAAAAGATTCATTTAATGTAGCCAAATGCCTATAGACTGTAAGAGAAGCACCTAAAGGGAAGCCGTTTGATTTATCTGAGTACAGGTTGCGTGGAAAATAAACAAGGCGAGTTTTTTTTTTTTTTTTTTTTAGATTTATTTATTTATACAAGAAATGGGATACAGGCCAGAGGTGCAGGAGAGTGAGAGGGTTTACTAGAGAGACAGAGTGGGGAGCAGAACAGGCAATCGGACCGAAAACACTGCTCAGGGGAGCAGTGGCCGAGACAGGAGAGGTCTGCTGTGCCATGTGGGTATCTCCCTGGCCGGCCGGGAATCAAACCCACACTGCAGAGGCTGTGCAGACAGCTTCACAGCACTGCGCTCAACCTGCTGCACCACCGGGGAGGCCCGAGGAGAATTATTTTGATGGGGTTTGTTGTGCTGCTTGTTGGACTTCAGTTCTAGTTTCTACTGCAGAAGTTAATTCATGGCCCCTAGGAAAGTTATTTAACAACTTTACATAAATTTCCTAAATTCTGGGTTGTGGTTAAAAAATACATATTCTTCCTACCTCGTTTATTTATATAAGGACAAGAAGATGACAAATATAAACACAGCACAATGTGTGGTATAGATTAGTAGCAGCACATGGCTATGGGCAGTAAGAAAAATTGAAAATGGTGAAGATTGCTAACTAATTCAGACTCTATGCTCTTGTAGGAGATACACTGCATGTTACTTATGTAAAGTCAAATCATTTGACGTAGGTTAAACGAGCTCTCTAAAGTGTCTTCAATACATTAAGTGTTCAGAATCAAATAGCATTCTGATTTTTTCCTCTGCTTTTATACTTTCTCAGAGTGTTTTATCATTCATTAAATGTTTTAAATGATGCTTGGTATTTCTGAATGATGAAAGAAGTGAAGATGTTTTCATCTACCTATGAGAAACAATACTGGAAACATAAGTGAAAAAAAGGGTCTTGAGATCAATATGAAACAGATGCTAAAATAAATGTGATTCATTTTCTCCTTATGTACATTAGTCATTTACTTCAGTCAACAAACCCTGAAACTAATAGAGAGTAAAAAATGAACCCAAAGCTTCTGTGGTGGGTGTGGTGTGGTAACATACCTCTGAAGAAGTGTGAAATTATACCCCTAAAGGTGTAAGTGTTGGGAAAAAAACATTATCTCTATTTTAAAAAAATTAAAAAATGAACTCCAAAGCAACATTCTCAAAAATGAGCCACTGATAACGATTTTTTTATTTTTGTCTACTCTTATCAAAATAACTCACACTAAAGCATAAAATGGGTGATTAACTGACTTTTAAAAAAATAAATCTGCATAATTTGGGATTACAAAAGTAGCAGAGAGTTTTCTAAACAGAAATAGTTTCTTTCAAATATTTTTCACATCCAGGAAGCAGCCAAATTTATCTCATGCTATATTATTTAATCTCTTCCTTGTAAATTTACTTTGCTCCAGAAAAATAATGTAATTTCTTGATGTGGTACACTTTATAATTACATATCCTCATATAAATAATATAAAGCCAACAATGTGCTGACTTACACTATTCTTTGCTCATTACATATTGATATATTAATGTAAGATTTATATATTCTGGCAAAATATGTTATTACTCATGTCTTTGATTTGCAAATATATTTATGGATGAATTGTACGTAGCATAAATTCTTGATGTATTTTTTTCAAAAGCTTCCAAAAATGATTATTGCATATATTTTGTGGTAATTTATTTTTACTTTAAATATTTACTTAGGCTCATAAGAAAAATGATTAATTAATGAATATTTTATTTACACAAAATGTCTTGGCTATACATGAGTCATTTAATATAAATTAAAATGAAACCTCTACATGAACTTATAATGTATTGATAAAGAAAGCAGAAACAAAATATGTGGGAATTTTGCTTAAATACTCATTCTCTTCAACTGACTAAAACGAACTTTTTTTCCGAATGAAGAAGGAATTCTGGAAGCAATTAAAAAGAATAAATTTGTGAGTTATTATTTAATTCACGCAACTCAATGTTTCATCATTTATGCACGATTTCCTGTCTTATCTAGAATCACGCTATGGTGACCACATCTGAGGGGAGAAATCATATATTGTCCAAAAATTAACAATGATATAAGACAAAAGGCACTAAAAAATAAATGTTTCATTAACATTAAAAACAATGTATATGTTATAAATGAGGAAATTATACTGTATTCTTAAGAAAATAAATAGAATCACACAGGTCTTAGCCACTTATTTTTGTTTCTTAAATACTAAGAAACAATTCCATTATATTGTATACTTTTCAAAAAATCATATTGTTGACTTTTTAATAGAACTTTTTACTTTTTGCTAATATATCTTCACTCCTTGAATCTATTTAAATATGTCTATGTATTTCATGTCCTCATAATTCTCTTTTTTACCTGCCTTTGTTAAAATTTAAAAAGACTTAACTATTTCCCATTGAAGTTAAACATTTACTGAGAAGGCATTGGTACTTCTTAATATTATAAAATTAATTTTCTGATCATAAGAAAGCTTTCCAGCTAGGACTGCCCCTGTGCCTTGAGTATAATAGACACAGCAGCTACTTTGTTCAATGAATTAAGAAAACAGAAATCAAAACATGCATTCTGCTTAGAGTTGAACCTCAGATTCCTAGGAGTAGTTGTATGTTAAGAGGAAAAAAATGATGGAAAACTTACACTTTTAAGATAATATGCTTATTTCAATTTTAATTATTTGCAATTTCCAGCTTCTTGCCTTTGCATTAATTTTTTTTTTTACTGCTCTGGGAAAGGGGGGAAATAAATAATCACATTTACACTAAGGTGTTCTAACTAATATTTCAGGAAACTGAATGTTAAATAAACTTTAAGAATTGAGAGTGGCTACAACAGACAAGATCCTTGCTTGTGTATAAACGTTGGATAATTACAAACGGCCCTTACCCTCTCTTTCTTGTTTATTCACAGGTAGCTTAACCCCATGTCTTTATAAGTTTCCGGACCACACCTTGAGTCATGGCTTTCCTCCCATGCACCAACCTCTCCTGGCAGAGGACCCCACAGCTGCCGATTTCAAGCAGGAACTCAGGCGGAAAAGTAAATTGGTCGAGGAACCAATAGACATGGATTCTCCGGAAATCCGAGAGCTTGAAAAGTTTGCCAATGAATTTAAAGTGAGAAGAATTAAGCTAGGTATGCAGGGGACACATAAGTTGGTCTGCAAATCCTTACTCCATTATAATTCAATCTCTCATATTTGATCAAAAGTCCAAGTCAGTGTTCATAGTACACCTCTACTGTGGTAAAGTTAGTTTAATTATGAAAATCCTACAAAGAACTTAATTTCCTTGTAAATTTTAATAGGCTAACTATACAGATTTTTAAATTAATTAATGGCACTCTGTTTCAAAGCTGAGGTTTGAAATGCCTGTTTGTGTTGTATATAGACACGGATTGGACACGTAGAATGTAGGCACATTTGAATGGATGATGCATCTTGTGATTCAAAGTCATACAAGGGTGTGGTGAAATGTATGCCTTTGACCAATGACATTAGTTTGTGTATCTTTCCAGAGATACAGTTTGTATACACAAACACATACATATTTGTCCTCATAGGGATTTTTTTTTCCACTTTGTTGGAGAGGTTTCAGTATTATTTTTGGAGAGGTTTTTATTTTATTTTATTTTATTTATTTATTTATTTATTTATTTATTTATTTTTTGTAATGGATGTGTCCAATTCCATTTTAGGAATGTACTATAATGTATGGAGTCAGGTCCTTATAGGTGGAATTTAGGCATGTTCAACCTTCAGTTGTTACCAACAATGCTACAATGATGAACTTCTGAAATGTCACTTTGGACCTATATGCATATATGTCTAGGGAAAGTGATAAAAGCAAAGTTGTTTGATTACAGAGTATGTATAGGTGTAATTTTGAGAGATGTCAAATTGGTCTCTGTAAAAATTGTAGTAAATTTTACCAGCTTTGCAAGTGCCTTCTTTTGCTACATCTCAGAATATTAACTTCATGAGGACAGCAGTTTTTTGTTTGTTTCTTTTTGTTTTCTCATTAATAGCATATCCTCAGCTATTGCAACAGTGACTGGTGACTGGCACATAAGCAAATACTCTTGAAGGAAAAATATGCCATTAATATTTTGGAAACCTGCACATCAGATAGGTCAAAGTGGTACCTTATGGTAGTTTCATTTTAAATTTGTCCGACTACAAGTAAAGAGTAAAAAACATTCTTTCATGCATTTGACAGTTATTTGTAATTCCCCTCCTGGCATTGTCTGTTCATAGCCTTTGCTCACTGTCTATTGAAAAGTGCTTTCACATAAAAAACTATAATAATTAACCTTGATTTAAATTCATGAAATAGTAATTTTTTTGGAATGGAAAGGATTGAAAATGATAGTTCAAATCTTTGCACTTGTGAAATGAACTACAGGTCCTTTTATGATATTTATTGATGGACATCATATGAAATCATTTTATGCAGACAGATATATAGCCACAGGCCCTAAATTAACATGTAGTTACTATATATAATAAACACAACTGTAGGACTCTTTATGGCAGTCATTTTGTTTGCCATTTATACTGCAATGAATGTTTGAAATTCTGTGTTTATGGTTTACATCAACTTGTACTCTAAAAATGTTTGGGACAATCAATGAGGGTTTTTTGCCTGCAGATAGAGGCATTATTAAATGCTGTAATAAATGTGCTTGGAGGTGAACATACATATAAAGGTACAAATGTGCTTGGAGGTGTGATCGTAGTTTCATGCTAAACATGTTTTTAGGAAAAGTATAGCTCTTAGTTTTATTTGATATCTTTTAACAATACAGTTGACTTTTCACTCTGTAGCTCAGATGAAAATATTTCTATCATATATTTTGTGCATTATATTTTAATATACTATAGATTTTGAGTACAAATTACTGTACATTTAATGATAAAAAGGATCTTTTAAATTAAATGTCTTATAAAATGCTGTGATACAATTATCCAATTGGGCTAAATATTAACCAAAAGGGATACTTCTGTAAGTAATGGACAAGTCTAAACTGAACCTTACTAAGAAATTCTAAATTGCTAACAAATTTATGCTTAAAAACACATATCTAGTTGACAAAGATACAAAGATCTGTGCAGTAACACGCCAAAATGTATGTTTCTTGAAAAAATGAAACTAAAGGTCTTTATTGTCCTTTCACAGGATACACCCAGACAAATGTTGGGGAAGCTCTGGCAGCTGTGCACGGCTCTGAATTCAGTCAAACAACTATCTGCAGATTTGAAAACCTACAGCTCAGCTTTAAAAATGCTTGCAAACTAAAAGCAATATTATCTAAATGGCTGGAGGAAGCTGAGCAAGTAGGAGGTATTGAAGTTATATTTTTAAAGGCTTTGTGATGTTTTATTTTTAAAGGCTCAATCAAAAAGTAGTCATTTTGATTGAGAGTATTAATGCTAAGGTGAGAGGTTTGAGATTTAATTTGTTTATTTTTTTCCCTTTGGAATAAAAAATAAGTACCTTGTTTCATTACACTGAAAAAAAAAAAAAGCAAGGCCAGATTTTTTGCTTCTGTGCTGTATGGTAGAAATTGTACATGAATCACGTTTTGTAACCTACATCTTAGTGTAACCAGATGTGCACTTGCACATCTGGTGCACTTGCACATACCAGTCTTCCAAGTAAGTAACACAAGCAATTGCTAGATGGGAAATTTTATATGATAAAATTATCTACTCATGCCAGTGTTAGGACTGATCAGGGTTTGAGAGCACTCAAAGAAAGTGTTCCAACAACAAAATTAAGATAGGGGTATAATTTATAGATAATTATATTTGCAAAGTTATTCTTTATTCCTGCATAATATTCTTATGCAAGGCTTATAATATAAAATACCCTAGGATTCAAACTTTAAAAAATGTATTTCATTTTTCTTTATTTTATATAGAAAACTTGAAACCCAAATCTAATAGTCATTTTTTTTTTTTAATAATTATCTCTCTTTGCCCCACTACAGCTTTATACAATGAGAAAGTGGGAGCAAATGAAAGGAAAAGGAAACGGAGAACAACTATAAGGTATGTTTGTTTTTTTTTTTTAATTGAGGTAACGTTGGCCTACAACACTGAATATATCAGTCAGAGGAATACGCTCACACCTCAGAAGAAATAAACATTTTAAAATAGAGTCAGCATTGATGTAACATGACATAAATGTAAAGTGAACAGAAGCTATTCAAAAAACAAGACTGGTGAAAGAAGCATAATTTAGTAACATAATGGTGAAAATTGAGAATTGCTAATTTTTAACATAAAATAGAAAAAGCTATATATTGATAGCTTTTTCAAGATTCAGGAACTTTTTGGTCCACAAGTTTTGGATAAAATCAGAAACTGAGCAAACACTTCTAAGAGGACGGGCTGGTTTTTCTGTAATTTTAGATCTATCTTGCTCTAGCATTATGGTTTTTATGTTATTAAAAATAACAAAACTAGTAATCAGTATTTCACTCCTAAAAGTCTACGGTGACTCCTGGTATTTCAAAGCAAAAGGATTGTTCATTGATCTTTTTTGTAGCTTTGGTGAGACTCACAGAGAAAATACTAAAATATAGGTTTTAGTCTTGGTTGAGTTGTTCATTAAACATTTCTTTATTGTGAATAACCTAAATGATTTCTTGGGTTATTTACAAAAATCCTCAAGTGTTCATTTCCTATTTAACTATTCAGTCGGTGCCCTCTTGTGGCACAAAGTGGAATAAACACAGAAATCCTGGGGTCCCCTACGTTGTGACCCCTTGTGACCCTACTTACAGTACCTTGCATAAAACAACATCTAAATAGTTGACAAATTGTTCGTTTATCTTTGTTTATGAGATTTGAAAGTGTTTTTCAGGGTCGTTATCTTTTCATTTTAATATTTAGAAAATTTAACTGAGCTTAATTTGGACCTGCCATAAACATCAGTAAAAACAACATTTTTTGCCTCTTTCCCCTCCCCTAGTATTGCTGCAAAAGATGCTCTGGAGAGACACTTTGGAGAACAGAATAAACCTTCCTCTCAAGAGATTATGCGGATGGCTGAAGAACTGAATCTTGAGAAAGAAGTAGTAAGAGTTTGGTTTTGCAACCGAAGGCAGAGAGAAAAACGGGTGAAAACAAGCCTAAATCAGAGTTTATTCACTATTTCTAAGGAGCATCTTGAATGCAGATAAGACTTCCTACAGTATAATGGCCAGATTTTCTATTTTTCATTCCTTTCTCTTTTCTGAAATAGAAGTGAGTTATTAGGTTGACTTCAAAAATCATTTTATACCAATAACTTTTGGAGAAGCTTTCCTTTTGTACTTTTTAAAAGAGTACACAATTTAATATTGACATTTTCCTGGAAATATTTATTTTCAGAAGCCACATTGTGCATTTTAAGCCAAAAGTACTAATAGGAATAAAACAGTGAGTCTCTGCCCCAACCTACTCTCTGTTTTTTTACACACACAGATACACACACGTGCACATGGGTCTTTTAAAGGGTTTTTTTTCAAATAATGTATATTACCTTTTAATCTTTCAGTTAGTAATGTCACAAATTAAAGTCTATTACCAGAAAATATCCAGCTAGAAAATTTATTAATGTCTCGCTTACTGGCAGCTATAATAGCTTGCTTGAACTAAAAGTTTTGAATTTAAAAGCCAGAGGCATCTTAGAATTTTATTATTGTACTTAGGAATAAATCTTAATCAGAAGTAACACTTTTGAAACTATTATTTAGGACATAGCTCCCAAAGAAGTGTTCCAAGTGAGATTTGTAGAAACATGATCTTTCCATTACTTTTTTGATGTTTTGCTATAGAAAATATGATTTATGTGTTCTTTAGCTCCACTCCGCTATTCTGCAAACTACAATAGTGCAGGGAAGATGTCTGACTTGTTTGCTGCTGTTTCTGCAGATCCTGGGAAGAATGATTGCTATAGCAGGTATGCAATCTTTGTTAAATGAACAAAGGAGAGTGTTATTAATGACGGCTACAAATTTGAAGGTGCCTAATTTAATAATTTCAGAAAGTAATTTTCATTTTGAAATCTCACAATCTGGAAAATCAGGTCCTATCCAAAAAAGACCATGACTTTTGATTTAACTGCTTAGAATTAGTTATATTAATTTGAAAAGTTTAATGTATTAAGCATTTCAGTTCAGGGAATTCTATCTCAAGAAACATTTATTTCATTTACAAGATGGCACTTCATTGGAACTTGAAAGTAGAATTACGCTGAAATGTGATATCAATCTAAAATAGTGACTTTTTGCATTTTAAATATTAATCTGCAGGCATAACAGGTATCTATACGTACGTGCATAAATTTTAAACTTGCAAGCAGAAACAAAATATAATGCAATATAAGTCTAGAATAGTGACTTTTGCACTTAAGTATGACTCTGCTGGGAATATTTCATTTAACTTAACCTAGCTTAATTTATATAATAATGGAAATAATTAGACAAAATTTTATCATTAATTTAGAATGTCTGCTAAATATAGTTTTTGTTTTCTGTGGTATTTATTAATAAAGATCAAGCACTGCATATGTCATAATCTATGTAGATCATGCTTGGGCACAATCACCATCAATTGGATAAGTAATAACTGGTATACTGATGAAAAAATGTAGCTTTCTGTCACCCATTCATCTATGCTTAAGCATACATCTATCACCCAGTAAGTGATACACATACAACTTATATACACATATAGATGTTTGTTATTCAAGTGTAAATTTCAAATTATTCCATCATATACCTGCATAAACTGACCTGCTTAAAATGTCTGTTAATCAGGGGAAGAGATACTTCCATTTGCAAAAGGCAGGTATTGGATATACATATACCTATACATACACACATACACAAATTTTAAACTTTGCAAACAAAAACAAAATATAATACAATATAAATCTAGAATAGTGACTTTTGTACTTAAATATGAATCTGTTAGGGATATTTCATTTGTTTTGTTATATCACAAGAAGCACAGATTTGGATAATGATATATGTCTAGATTATATTATCAGACATCCATCCATATAGGTCATTCAAGTTGAGATTTAACTAATATTGGGAACCAATTTTTCTCCCAAAGTCCAAAATTATTATGAATCACAACTTAACATTGAAACAGCAATTCTTTACTTAGCTATTCATAAGTTAATTGCAAATACACTGTTAACTCACTTGTATTAATGAGTTTGAGACTATTTTCTAAGTTTAATGAGATATTTTAATATCTTAATTGGTTAGATTCCTAAACTGCAATTAAACAAATAAGAGATGCAATTTTCTATGTAGTATAAATGTGCTCATACTTTTGAGAATAGATATCAATAGCCAATTTTAACCATAATCTTTTCCTCTTTAAATTTTTATGAGTTCTTCAGTAGTAAATCTTAAGAAATTCAGTAGTCCATTAGCATGGGAAGATCTGTTTGTCACATGAATGTAACACTGATTGTTACATTCAATTTTACCTGGTAGAAGTGGTTGACAAACTATTCATAAATTTACCTTTCTTTCTCTAATGGTGAAAAAAAATTGTTTAAATAGTTTCACTCTTTAGGGCTCGGAGGGAGGAATGTGTGTGGTGTTTCAACAATAAAGTACTTGAAATCAGACTTTGCAACCCTCAGGCTTTCTCTAAGGCAAATTTAATCCAGTTGACGCTTAAAGGAACTAAAGTTTAAAATGGACTCAATTCCCTTTATAGGACTCAGCTTCAACAGAGAGGAAATTGGAAAGCTGATCTGTTTTTCTGTAGCTGCAAAAAGCTATTCATGCAGAGAAAGGATATCAAAGAAAGTCCTCATAGATCTTTCTTTAGATCTGGATATATGAGTGTTTAAAATAGGAGTACATACTTAAATTAGGCCCAGAAGGCTCAGACTAGATTTGTGGCTATTGGGGTAGTAAAGAATGTACTTGTGTATAAGGGAAGAGTGCCGGTTGCTTCTAAAGGGATTAAAATACGAATAGTAAAATATGTATCACTGTGCAGGTCATATAACATATGCTGCCAGATTTCTGCCTCTTGTCGATATGGTCACAAGCTTGCGTGCCTTTCCACCAGGTCCTGCCATCCATACGAGACTCCCCTTCAGAGCAGAGTAGTCTGTGCAACAGTCATATGACAGATGAACTTTTCTTCATATCTTCTAAGCCGGGTGTTACCATTAGTATTAACATTTTTGTCCATTTTACTTGCCTCTGATACTCTGAAATCACCTCTAAGACTTACACATGTAAGAACAGAATATAACCTATATAACACTGGGTGCAGCCTTTTTGATAGCAACCTCTGATTTGAATACAGTTATTAAATTTTTTTCTAAAAAAGGAGTTAGGTAAAACAAGTTTAAAGAAAATCATTATGCCCAATGTATAAGAATCCTTTTTCCTAGTCATAAGGGTCCAAAAGGAAATGTTTTAAACAAAATAGCATTATAAAATTATAGTCATTGTAAAAATTGCCCCCAGAACATTTATAAATGTAGCCAAGTCAGAATGAATGACTCTGCTCTGCCTATGGGTCCCAGATTCTTCTGTGGCATCTGTGTTTGACCAAAATGAAAGAAATCATCAAAACTCACATATTTAAAATTAGGATTTAAAAATGTTTATCCCTATAAGTTCTAGGAAAGGAATTAATGTGAAACCACCAAAACTTAGGCTACTCCATTCACACCTCTCAGTCCTGCATTTACTGCTAATTTTTAAAAAGACTATTTTTGTCAAAATCTAAGTAGCAGTTATCTATATGTTCCAGGAAAATGGTGAAAATCATTCTTCAGAAAAAGTACCAAATATGCAGAAAATTTTATCAAAAGCCAAAAAAAAAAAAAAAAAAACAGAAGAGATAAAGGGAACCAAGTATAACAGCAATAAATTTTTATTGGTATTTTTTTAACAAAATAATTTTTAAAAACAAAAGCCCCCACATGTAAACAAGAAAGTAAATAAAGTTAGTTGGCATTACTATGTACATCCAAGAATCAAAAAGCATATTCTGGGTGAATATGCCCTAATCCAATAAAATGTTTTGACTCCTCATTGTTCAGGGAAACTCTATTGAATACTAACAATTAATGAAATAGTCTTTGAACATGATAAAATGGTTTATGGATTATAATCTATATAGTTCAGCTTTTCATTTTTTCCACCAATCCATATGCTACATGTATACTAGTGCTAAAATGTATTTATGTTGTACTAGTTCAAACTGTCACCTCAAATTAAGCATGTTATATTATCTGATCTCCAGAGTTTTTAATGGTTGGATGTGCTATAACCCATAATATACACTATCACTTTTCAGAACTAATCTAATTCTAGATTCTCACTCTAATCTGCTACTTCGTCATTCTCCCTCCCTCGCTATACTGTACATTAAATAACGTAGCAACTTTACTTTAAAAAGTACTGCTTATACATTAATACACATCTAGGCAGTAATTTCTGACAAGGTTGTAGTTTATCTAACAAGGAAAAATGTTAATTTTTATTTTAAAATTTAGGGTTAGTATTGTCTTTGTAGTGTTATTTAACTGAGAATGATGTTTCAATTTAGAGTGTTCAATATAACAATAACACACTTTGAGATTAAACAGAGGTTATAATTCATGTGGAGAAAATCACAGTTCTTGGAAGAAAGATCAGAATATCTTGTTTTATTACTATAAAATGTTGTTAATTCAATTTTTGTATTTGCTAGTTCAGTCACAGTTTTTGCTAATTATATTCAATTTTACATGCTTTACAAAAGAGAGTCTGGGTAATTTTTGTAAGAGACCTCAATTTTAGCTTAAAATGCAATTCTTTTCTGCCAGTTAAAATAATTTAAGAATGTGCACATTATGTCTGTGCTGTTTAAGACAGGTGCCAAGCACATTCTGAAAGGTAATAAACTTACCAACTGGAATGTTCTCCCAAAGGAAAAAAGAAAAGCTCATGACAGTTTTTGTTTAAGACAGATGTTTAAATAGCACTCTTCTTTTAGATCATTTAAAAATAATTTGGCAGCTGAACAGCCTATGGTCATAACATACAACCACTTATAAAGGACAAGCAACAGATACAGAATTAATTTATATACTTTAATATTTTTACAAGTTTCGCTAAGTCAGCGCCTTATGGCACTTAACAATATTTTTGTATTCAATGTAAAAAGATTTAGAACATAAATGACACTAAGTAATGAATATAATTTTTTTATGCCATGCAGAAAAAAGTCAAGTTTTTACACATCATCACTCCTAAATAGTTCTAATTAAAATCCAAACTGTTCCCATTTTTGCATCATTGTCATTCTTTGGCAAAAGATTCAAAATAGCCATGGGTTAGGAAACAACTGTTCACTCGTGGTCCTCATTTTTGTAAAAGAAATGTGTTTTGTAAAAGGAAAAAAATCTGCATTGTGCCTGGTTTATACTAAATAATTAGAAGTAAGCAAAATATGGCTTTTTTGGCTAATCTACTCCTAAAGCTTTGAGCTGTCGTTCAATCTCTTCATCAGATATAGTAGCCTTTGAAGTAGAGGCAGATGGTAAGCTTCGCGCAGCTGATGGAGCTTTGGCCATCTATGTTAAAGGGAGGAAAAGGAAAAAAAGGTACATCATTATTTTTTTGATTACTCCAATTGTTGTGTCTGCTTCCATGCCGTCTAGACTCTTCATGTTTGTCATCTATCTTATGCATCACATTATATAATTATAATTACATGAATTATTTCTTAGTTAATGTAAGATATTACATTGGGCTAGAACAATGCTGTAAAAAAAGCTTAATTTACAAATATTAAGTTGTATACCTAACAGTAAAGGACAAATTGACAAAAATGGTAGAAACTGTTTCCACTGAGAAAAGATGACATTCCTACCTTTCCAGAGATCTCAATTCCAATTTCATCAAGAACTTGATTCACAATATCTTGACTTTCTTCTTCATCATCAGAGCCATCAAAGATGTCATCAAGTGTGTCATTGACTTGGGGATAGGGGAGAAACAAAGCAGTTACTTTCAAACAGAATCTGTTAGGCTTACATTTTTAGTAGAAGCGTTTCAACACTGCATATATTTTGTATATTATAAAAAGGGCAAATTTAAGTAAACCAACAAACCACAAAGGTCACTTTTAAGTGTCAGTGAGGCTAATTGATAAATTCATTTTTGAGGTACTGATAAGGACTAATGTTCATTTCACTGCAAAATATAATTCTTTTTGGAAAAAGATATGTCTATTTAAACTTTGAATTTATTTTTTGATGAAAATACTAATGCTAATGCACTTTACTAGCTTACTAAAAAATGACCAACCAATAATTACCATTATTTTAAAATCACTTGCAAGGTACTAAAATATAAATGAGAACAACTGTGGTAGATGTGAGTTTTAAGTACACGCTTATAGAGTTTCTCCATTATAGCTTAATGGAAAAGTTAATTCCTTTGATAAAATCTTCTCACACCTGTGCCATCAAAGGAAACCACATAAACATGTTAGATACTATGATCATTACACAGATGACAATTCTCTCAGTCATTAACAATTAACTAATGATGTTTCAAATACATATATATCTTTCAAAATAAAAACAATACAGGTTTAAAATGAAAACTAAAGAATTTCTGACTTACAAAGATACAGTATCATTACACCCTAAAAGGAAATAAGTATTCTGAAATAGAACATTAGAACAATGGTGAGTTTAGTCTTCCTAGTAATTTAATTAGTTACTATTGTTTACATGAGAAACCATTAAATTAAAATGCTAATTTACAAGCAGAAACAAATAGATAGATATATCCCTAGAAAGTTCTAAGACTATTAGAAAATATCTTTGCAAAACAATAATACCAGTTTTGAATTATGTAAGCAATAATTCATTATTGATCAGGATTCTGTGAAGGGTCCCACATTCAGCATGGGTAAAATAAAGATTGGTATAATCATTCTGGGAAAAATATGATAGTATGAACCAAAAGATGTATAAAAGTTAATACTCTATGGAGACTTGAAAAATTTAAAATGCTCTTATTGACCAAAGTAAGAATGGTTCGATAAATTAGGGTATACTGATGTTATACAATATGAAAGCCATTTTTTAAAAAAGACTTTAGAGAAGATTAGGTTTATAAGTATATGCTCTTGTTATACAACTTTTTTTTGTTGTTTGAAAGCACAGTAAGATTGAAAACTGTACATGTAATGTGATCTCATGCTTGTAAAACATGAATAACATAGGAAGGAATATACATCTAGGTGGTGTGATGTAGAAAGAGATGGTTTGGTTTCTTTATACCACATGCACTTAGTCTATACTCAAAAAGAAGAAAATGAAATATTAAATAACATGGAAAGGGGAAGAAGAAAAAAATGAGTTCCATTATCTCTACCTCTAATATAAACAGAGCTAAAGTACGAGATATGAAAAATCAACCCAACTCTGAAACTACCTAATTTATACCAGAAAGTTATATAATAGAATATGCTTTTTGTCCACTAATCAATACACTAAAACTGTTGGGGCCAATATGGCATAACATATTATGCCATATTCAGTTAAATGTTAATGGAATTTTGAGTTTTATATATTCCCAATTTAAAAATATATTGAAGTTACAATATAGACATCTATCTAGAAGAGTGCTGTTATCATTTCTTACTGCATTATTTGTGTTTTTATGGACAAGCATATGAGCATGCTAGTATATAAACTTAATTCAAAGATGCGAACACTATACATTTCATTGTAATTTTTTGAACTTACTCATTTCTTCAGTCATTTCCATTTTCATGTTTTCCTTCTGGAAATTCTGCATAGTTTGTAATGTCTTCTGTGGATCCATCTTCTTATTAACTGCCTGCATAGTCTTTAAACATATGAAAAGATTCATATTAGCTACATAATAATGAAAATTTTACTGTGGAATAAGTCCAAAGGGAACACACCAAATAGAGACAGGCTTTTTAAAGATATATGTTCCTGCCATAATCAAACATATGAGAGTTAAATATTCTAGGAAAGAAATGAAATACTCATTTGGAAGCCATCTGCTTAAAGCCTATACAATAAAGACCAATGTGAAATGCCTCCTCTAAACAGTAGGCAAAAAACTACATAGTAAAAAAATCAACATAAAATTCATTGCTTTTCAAGTGGTAAAACTACAGCTGCCTATTACATGTCAAGCACAAAATATCTCAATTAATTTTTTTAACTTTTAAAAATTTTTTCATTAACTTTTTAAATTTCTAACCTTACAAGAATATGCTAACATACATATAATCTATTGGTATATTTTAAACTATGGTTTAAGAAATGAACAAACAGTTAACTTTGCAAAAATATGTGAAAAGAATTCCCCTATGGTATGTATTCACAACTTAGTTCATTAAAAGAGATTAATGTTATCAAGTACAGTCAATACATTTAGTGTGTGTGCGTATATGTGTGTATTTATATAGTTAGTTCAGTATTAAAAAACACTAATAGAAAATAAAATAAAAATAATATTGCAAACACAGTCTTTTCTCAGTCAGTCTATATGAATGCTACAGTCAAAATAATCTTTTCAAGAATTAAACTCCACAGCCTTGTCCCTCATTAGCCCACACATATCTAATTCACCAGTGGCTTTTCATTGCTCTTAGTATTAAAAGATAAATTTCATAATTGGTGAATAAGACTAAACTATGAAATGAGCCTTGCTGGTCTCTCGTCTCATTTTACACCGCTGTACTTTAGCCACACTAAGCTTTCATTCCCTTAAATATGCCGTGCCTTCTCCTGCCACAGGACCTTCGCACATGCATCCCTCATTTGGACTGCTCTTCTCAGTTTGTTTTCTTTATCATCACTTCAGATTTTCAGATTTCCATTTATATACCACTTTTTTAAGGATGTAACCCCTGAAACTCCAGATTAGAGTAGGTGGCCCTGTTAATTCCTACCTATCATATATGGTATTTCATATTTATTAGTGTCAATGACATTATTTTACTTGCAACTTACATTATTACTATAAATAATACTAAATATAGTGATAACAACAATGATATATGTGAAAATTCTAACCCAGACATCTCTATATGTCTAGACCACATTAAATACTTTTTCCTACCCCACAACTTGCATAAAATAGCAAAATGAGTAGCCTTCCCTCCTCAATACAATTGAAAAGTTATCCAGCCCAGGTGTATAATCTTCACATATGATCGTTCCCTGAATAGGACATGTTCAGATCTTCCAATTTGTAAAACCAAAAAAGGAAGACAAGTGATTGTCACTGTAAAATTTAGAAATTCACTGTATTCACTGCAAACTGAAAGGTTCTCTTTTTCAAAGAACATGTGTCACTGTACTTACTGGTACCTAAAATGGACACATTCTATTTTCATATATTTTACAGTCTTAGCAATTACAGTTAATCCTCATTATTTGTGGAGTCCACATTTGTAAATCTGCCTGCTCACTAAAATTTATTTGTAACCTCAAGTCAATACTCACACTTCTTTTATAGTTCATGGAACATGTGAAGAGCAGCAAAAAATAAGAGTTGCCAAATGTACACATTTTCAGACTATAAACAAGGGTCCTTTTGATCTATTTAATACCACATTTTGGTGCCTTTTGTTGGTGTTCTAGCTACTTAAAATGTCTCCTAAGCATAGTGCTAAAGTGTCATCTAGTGTTCCTAAGAGCAAGAAGCTATGATGCGCCTTATGGAAAAAGGATATTTGTTAGATAAGGTTTGTTTAGGCATAAGTGATAGTGCTGCTGACTTAGGCATAAGTGATAACTCATGCTCACAGACCATGAGTTCAGTGTTAATGAGTCAACAATATGTATAAAATATGATGGCTTTCAATAGAAGCACGCATACAAGATATAGACTAGCTGACAAGAATGTTGAGAACAAAGGCTCACTGGAATATAACCCTACATTTCCCCTAAGAGCAACAGTTTCATATCCACTAATTTTATGTTCCCAATTTTATAGGATATAATTACCATGATAAGAAGTTAACTGTTATGCCATTTTCCTAACATAAACTTACGCTTTCTGTGTAACTTTTTTTTTGCTTTTGCTCTTCATCATCATGTCCTCTCCCTACATTTTGAAACCTAAGTCTTAAAAGAATTCTGCAAAATCTTCAGATCACTCTACTCAACTGTTCAGGCAGGTGATTGAAGTTCAGCACTTACTTTTGCTGTAGTAGACATTGCTCCAGCCATCTTCATCTGGGAATTCATCACTTTTGTTTGTGTGCACATAGAAGTGACTTTTGAACTTACAGCAAAAGTTCTTGTTTTCTGCTTCCGGAGATGTACAAGCTGTTTGGCTAAAACTCTACAAGCTTCTTTATTACCAATCTTAGCCATTTTCTTAATCTCTAATTCCTAAGAGAGTAAATAAAAAGGAGAATAAAACAATTGAGGAGTAGTCCTGAATGATTTCTTTCAGAAGAATAGACTAAATATACATATATCCTTTTTTCCTAATCATGAAGGGAAGTTGTCATAAAGTCATAGAAAGACTAATTCGAAAGGACAATTTATTCTACATGTTTACAAGAGGAGAGCACTACTATCATCCACAAATATAAAATAATACATAGAGTGAACAACACCACAGATACAAAAATGCCTAATAAATTTTCAGCAAACTAAAAAAAAAAAAAGGAAAAAAAAACTTTACCAATGGAATTTATCTAAGGAGCAAAAATTTGATTTCAACTTTGGAAAATAAATCAGTAGAGCTGCTACTGTACACTCTCCCCCCTCCCAAAATAAAAAGAAAAGAAGTAATGAAATACATTCCTGATTATGTCTTAGCAAACTTAGCAAACCTGGGACAGGACATGTAGAAAAAAATCCCTAGTTAGTATCACACCTAATGGTGCAAAACTAAATATTTTTCCTCCTAACATCATTAAAAAATGTAAGGATGTTTGCTATTGCCAATTCTATTTAATACTACAGTGGAACCTCTAGACATTGTAATAAGGTAAGAAAAAGAACAAAATGTTATCAAGATTCCAAAGGAAAATTAAAAGTTTTATTCACAAATGACATGATTATGTAGAAATCTGATAGATCTGCTCAGACTGTTAGAACAAGTGGGTTTAATAAGGTTATAGAATTCAAGATCAACATAAAAATTTAAGAGATTTCTAAACATTAACAAAAAGTTAGAAATTGAGTTTGTTTTTAAAATATCATTTAGCATCAAAAATATGAAGTAGTTAGGGATAAATCTAAGAAGTGTAAAAACTATAAATTTTCAAGTACAAACATTGCTGAAGAAAATTAAAGATTTAAATAAATTGGGCCTCCCCTGGTGGCGCAGCAGTTGAGCGCTGGGCTGTGAAGCTGCCCGCAGCCTCTGCAGTGCCAGTTCGATCCCCAGCAGCCAGCGAGGGTCCCACATGGTGCGACAGACCTCTCCTGCCGCACCCATTGCTCCCCTCAGCAGTGTATTTCGTCACTCTGCCTGTTCTGTTCTCCGCTCTGGCTCTGGTGAATTCTCTCACCATCCCGCGCTTCTGACTGTACCCAGTGCGTGTATAAATAAATAAATAAATAAATCTTAAAAAAAAAAAAAAGATTTAAATAAATGGAGAAACAAACATGTTATTAACCAAAGGTCCATTGGCTGGTAAATAAATTATGGAATCCATACAATGGATAACATTTGTCAACAAAAAGCAATTAACACTGACAAAGGTAATTTTAAAGTAATTAAGAGTAAAAAAGACACAAAGAATTAATATTATGATTCCATTTAAATAAAATTCTAACAAATACAAATTTATCTACAGTGACAGATTATTTTTGCCTAAATGGGGAGGAAAGAGACAAGAGGGCTTAAAATACAGAAAATCTTGGGGATAATGGATATGTTATCTTGATTATAGTAATAATTATTACACATGTCAAAAATGTATCAAATTGTACATTAAACATAGTTTATTGTATAGCTATTATAATTCAATCATGGTGCTTTTGAAAAATATTTAAGCAACTTACATTTAAAAAGAACATAAAATATTCAAAGATGAGCAACACACAAGACAGTCTACTTAAAAAAGTACATTGCTAAAACAAAGATCATTAACATATGAAGTTAAGACACCTAAGAGTTAACAAAATTATTTCCTTGTAACCCTCTCTTGTTTTCAAGGACTATTTTATCTTTGTTAACTGAGAAAGTGATAGCTCTGTTTTGAGCAGTATTTTTTCCTAGGCATTCATGACTTAAACAAACTGAAGAATAATTTGCTTTTATAATAAGCAGAATCCTGATAAAAGTCAGCAGAAAGACACAATAAACAAAGGTAAACAGAAAATACAAGAAGGCATTAAATGCCATTTCTTACTATAGTAAATCACTGACCACCTGCCATGCATGTGTCCTTTTCCTAGTGAGCTAATTATCACAACACTAATTTCCAAATTTGTTTAAAAAGTTAAACTGAAATTTAATGTTCAACTTACCAGTTGTTTTTCTTGTTTCTCTAAAGCTGCTCGATCTCTGATTATAGCTCTCTGTGTACCTCGTAACTCTCGATTCTGTTCCTTTATTACATCTATGAGAACAACAAAAGAAATCTAAATGCATGGGTTGTAAAATTGTCTTCAATGACACTTAAAATACTGAACTCAGAGACCTCAATTTAAAAAAAAATTGATTTTTTTTACAAGATGGCAAATTGTCTTTCAATATATAAAAATTAGTCAAATATTAAAAATTGCATTATGAATACTAACTATATAAAAATCACAAGAGTACAAATATGCTACAGACTGTGGTTTAACCAAAAATATATATAAATCACAATAAAATATTCCCTTAGAGAACTGATTAGTATACAATGTTTTATGTGGCATATATATATCATACAAACAAAACCACACACCCTTTTCATCTCTCCTTATTCTCCAGTACTTTATGAAATTCCAGAAAGGATGACATGTCATATGCTTATTAAGTCTTCTTTTTTTTAATACAAAGTTATCATTGCAGAGTGGAAAGCAGACCTCAGTAATTTCTTTAAAGGATCACAGATATTGGTGTTAAAGCTTGCCACAAATGATCTCATTGTCTGGAACACATGGTCTATGTGTTTTCATATGTCATTACAATATAATGTTCATAATAATGCTATAATGTTCATTATCTACTGTAATGTATATAATAATATTACACATTTTTATATTATTTTATATACAAGAAAATTGAGTGTTGGAAGTTTAAATAACTAGCCCAAGGCCACAAAGGTAGTAAGCAGTACTGCCAGACTTGGATCCAGGTGTATTTACTCCTGAATCAGGAATTGTAATCACTCCACTAGAGTTTGCTTTTTAGTAAACAACAGAAGGAATAGTCCCTGGTGCTGGGACAACCGTGTGTCCAAATGAAAAAGAATTAAATTGGACCTCTACCTCACACCATAGAAAAAAATGTACTCAAAAAGAGATTAATGACTCAAACATAACAGGTTGTCATAAAACTCTAAGAATACACAGGAGTAAACATGCATGACTGGGATCTAGCTGTGGATTCTTAGCTATGACACTGAAATCACCAGCAAATAAAGAAACACAGACAAATGGTAAATAAACACATGAAAAAGATGTTTAATATTATTATTATAATGGTTAATATTATTAAATAATATTATTATTATTTAATAATATTACAGCTGTTGAGTGCGGGGTTGCGAAGCTGCCTGCAGCCTCTGCAGCACCGGTTCAATCCCCGGCCTTGGGGTGAGGGTCCCACATGGCGCACAGACCTCTCCTGCAGCCCGCTGCTCCCCTCAGCAGTGTACTTCATCGGTCTGCCTGTTCTGTTCCCTGCTCTGGCTCTGGTGAATTCTCTCACCCTCCCACGCTTCTGATTGTACCAAGTGCTTGTATAAATAAATAAATAAATCTTTAAAAAAATATTCGCCTTTAGAAAACAATATTATTCGCCTTTAAGGAAATGAGACACCACTCCACATTCATTGGAATAGCTACAAAAAAAAAAAAAAAAGGAAAATAACAAGTGTTAATGAGAATGAGGAAACTGGAACTCTTGTACATTTCTGGTAGTGATGTAAATTGTTTCAGTCACAATGGATAACAGTTTGAGGATTCCTCAAAAAGTTAAACATAAAATTATCTTATGATACAGCAGTTACCTTGTAGGTATATATACCCAAAAGAATAGGTACGCAAACAAAAACTTCTACACAAATATTCACAAAAGCAACTATTTACAATAACCAAATGTTGGAAACAACCCAAATGTGTATGAAGAGATAACTATATAAAACAAAGCACAGTAAATGTGTGTGTTTGTGTATATATGTACCACATATAATAGAACATTATTGCATGATAAAAAGAAAGTTATACTGATACACACTACAACATGGATAAATCTCAGAAGTATTTTGCTAAAAAAAAAGAAGTAAAAGAAGGGTCCAAGTCCAAGATCAAAGTATGGACAAGTTTGACTTCTGCAGTCTCTCTCTATGGCTTGAAGACAATGACCTTCTAGCTGTCTCCTCACGTGGTCTGTTTTCTGTGTATGCTCATCCCTGGTATGTCTTCCTCTCCTTAGAAAGACACTACTGCATCAGGACCCTATTCTCATGACCGCATTTAATGACAGTTACCTCTATTATAGATCCTATCTCCAAATATATTCACATTAGCAGGTAGAAATTGAACACAGAAATTCTAGGGGGGGCCAAACTGGTCCACAGTATAAGCTATCCTTCCTCAGATAACTACAGACCAACACTAAACATAACAGTAAGGAAAGTTCCCTTTCAAAGAAGTTATAAGCCTTTTCATCAACAAACAGACCCAATTTTCTTCTTTTGGACTTGTTCCCTATTTTGCAAATATTAATCCTACTTTTCAATAGAAAGTATGTTTTAAATCAAAACTGAAATTATTAAAATTTTAGCATATAATCCTTTTGTGCACAAAAAAGTCTCTCTAAACTCAACTAGCATAAGATGAAGTGTTAGTATTGAGATAGTGGTGATGGTCTTCTAAAGCAAGATGGTCTTCTAAAATACAAGAATACTGAGCTGAAAGAGAATCACATTAATGAATCATGGCGAGACAGTTGACACAGGTGTAAAGCAAATGCTCAAAGCCTTAATTGCTAATATCTATAATTCCATTAAGATTGATAAACTTTAATTAGGTGTGTTTAATTAAAACACACATTAGTTTAATTAAATAAACTTTAATTATTAAACTTTAATAGGGTGTTTTGAAAAATGTGTATTTGGTTTTTGTTCTGAGTTCCTGATATGGGCTCTTAAAACTTTTCAAATTTTCTGAGTGACAGGAATGTCTAATGGTTAACAACGTGGGTCCCTTATGTAGCTTCAGGATGGGGCTGGTTACCAGAAAGACCAAATACTTAGAGGGTGGGCATTTTTAGCCTCACCTTTTGACCTCAGGAGAGGCGAGAAGGGTTGGAGATTGGGATATTAAAACTCTTGAGCAAAGAGATTAGGAGACTTCAGGGTTGTTGAACACGTTCACTGCTAGGAAGGTAACGAGCTGCAGAGGGCATGCAAACATGACACCGTCACTCCCCCAACCCAATACCTTGCTTCCATTTGAGTTGTGTTCTTGCAATAAACTGGCAGTAGTAAGTAAAGTACTTTCTTGAATTCTAAGAGTTGTTACAGCAAATTAGCAAAGTTGTGAGGACCTGGATCTTACAGCTGGCTTTCAGAGTCCTGGTGGTACCAGGGATTTGTGACTGGTGTCTTATGTGAGGATAGTCTTATGAGACTGAGCCCTTACCCTGTGGGACCTGTGCTCACTCCAGATCCTCAGTGTTAATCAGCACTGAATTGAATTGTTGGAGACTCCCTGTTAGTGTCAGAAAATCAGAAAGTAGAAAACAGATATTGCCATCTTTGTTGAAAAACAAATATTAAGACAGTAATTTTTAGTAAGACATGTAATTTAATCAAAGTTTCACTTTTCTTAATTTTATACAATGATGTATACTATAACTACCTCTGTATATTAGAGAAGGTAAAATAAAGAAAATTAACTACCGCATATTCCACAGCTTCATAGTTGTTAACAGACCTATTAATATTTAAACAGCTCTAAGCTATAAACTGAGAGTATCTACTATTACATACTAAAACACAGTCATAACACTTTAAAACATATTATGGTAAGTAGGAAAAGCGAGTAAAACATTTTTTTCATATGGGATGATAGATATATACTATAAAACAAACATTATTCTTTTTAAAAAGCAATTCTTATACTAAATCCACATTTAATGATTTTCTAGATTATTCAGAATGAATCTGAGACAAATATGTATTTGTAAAGAAATACAAACATATATTTGAAACACAAAAGGATTTACTTTAAATAGATAAAGTTAATATATTCCTTTAAAACATAATAAAATCTACTGGTTATCAAGAAAGTTAGTTGATAATCTAACAATAGTAAAATCTGAAATAGGATAGGTATCTTACTTCACTGAATAGATGGAGCACTAAAATAATCTGATTTTTCCCTATAATTTTCTGCATTGTTCTTTTTTCATCCTGAGTCAAGACAATGCCAGAGACATCTGTGGGCACTGATATCTAGAAGAGATGAAGTACTTAGCACTTGCTCATCTGCTGTTCCTCCTCTAGGCAAAATAGTATGGCCTGAATTTTTATACTCCTGTACTTCATCTACTGTGTGGGGCTTGCTGTGATGCATTCATAGCAGGTGATAGGAGAAAATTATGGTGGAACAGTGGAAATGACAGTGATACATGGGTAAGAATATGGTAAGCTCTCTGTTGAGAGTGAGCTAAAAGGGTTTAGAGGCTGCCACACCCACCACCCTCTGCCCTCCCACACCCAGCACAACACTTACACAAGTCCACGTAAGTTAGTGACACTCTGCCCATTAGTCTTTCAAGGCTCTCCTTACTGAATGAAATACATATGTTTGCACTACAGTGATAAAATCACAGATTTAAAATTGGGGACTTAAAATATAGGCAGAAATAATCTTTCTGTCTTCTATTGTTCTAAGTCAATAGGTCTATCTGCTTGGAGGGGGGTGGAGGTGGAGAGAGCCATAAAATAAAAAAAAGGCAAAACAAAAATGGTACTCCCATGTGGTCCAGCCTAGCTCATTTGAATCTTCTGCTGGGACTTGAGGCCAAGCCCCAACTTGAATTATGACTGGACTTCCAGACCCTTCTCATTTACATATAATTTGCACATTTGAGGATTAAAGCAAAAAGTAATTATCAACAATAAATATGGTCACTCCCTTGCTGTGAGTAAGGCTGTTTAAAGAGATTGTTTATTTTTTGTGGGAAGAGAAGAGGGATCTTTCTCAAGCTTGGAGGGCAGTTCAGGATTACACCCCAAGAGTGCTCAAGTGTAACATGCAGAACATACACTCTGGAATTCAAGAAGGTCTACTAGTTTAGTCATCAACACCGGTACTAGCTTCTGTTCAGAAAACTTCAAAGGGCATTTTTCAGCTTAGATAAGTGAGGGATGGAAAAGGAAAGTACCTCTGAAAGAACAATCTCATATACCTGTAGACTGAAAGGTAAGAAATGGGTGCATGAGAATAAATACCAGACTCTGTGTCATGGTTGCTATAGAAAAATAAAGTGGGAAGACAAAAAGAAAAAAACTTGAAAAGAGAAGGAAAAGTGGTCAGAAGAAATTGAGAAAATTTCAGAGTGTTATGCCATGGAAGATGAGAGAAATACAAGTAAGAAATTATCAGCATCAAAAATAAAACACAAGCCCAAGAGATGCTCACTATAAAATGGCCATAGGATTTAAGGATCCACAAGTCACTGATGAACAAGTTTTCATTACATGAAATGTAAAACAAACTGCTGTAGAATGAGGAGCTTCTAAGCAATAAAAAAGTAGAGACAGAAGACTCCTTCAAGAACAAAAAAGAAAATGATCACACTTCCTAAGAAATGCTGGGTGAAGGGAGACTCAGGAAGAGGAGGGTTGTTTCCAGTTTTACCACTGTTAGAAGTTCAACTTCTCCCACTGATTCTGAGACAAAGGAGTCTGGTTCACAGGCAAAGGGTATACTAAAAGTTGGGAATTCCACATATTTCGTAATAACAGCAAAAATTAACTTATTAGATGCCACAGGGCATCTAATAAGAATATTATTCAAAGGGATGAGGTCCTAGGTATGTCATTTAGTAGTTGTATGATCTTGGGCAAGTTATTTATCCCTTGCCCTTCAATTTTCTCATTTATTAAGTGAGGGTAATAATAGGACTTATCTTACAGGTTTTGTGAAAATTAAATAAAATACTAACTAACACAATGGTATACAGCAGGGACCACAAATTTATTTTTACTGAGGATATCAGACAAAAATTACATAGTGTTTAAAGAACTTCAATTTTTAAAAGGCATGTTTAGTTGTATGACAAGTCCTAATGGCATCCTGATTAACAGGTTCAGAACTAGCTTCAATAAGCAGGCCATCATTTGTACACTTCTGGGGAAAAAAAAAAACCACAATGTAGATAAGCACATTTATATACAGAGTGGTTGTGTTTGCTATATATATCTTACAAATCAGTAAAAGGAAAACCAAGTACTCAATTGTAATTTCAAATTCAAAATAATCTTTCTCTTCTATACCATTGAGGTACAATTCTCATTAATTTCTGTAACAAGGTATACACTGCAGAGACTTGTTCATCTCTGTGTCAAAAATGAATTAAACATTACTCTGAATAGTAATAAGTGCTGTAATGTTGTCTCCCTTTGTAATTTACATGAGCAGTAGTCTTTAATGATACAGTATGTAACTCTTCCAGCCAATCCAAAGAGACAAAAAGATTCAATTATTCTTCAGATCTATAAACAGTTACAGAATTCCATTACATATCAGAACTTCATTACTGCTGAACCAGATACAAAGACAGCATACAGTAAAAGATGCTATGATCAATAACCAACAAGTCCAAAGGTTCTGGGAGAAATGCATAAAAATACATTAAATTTCATAATACATAGCCTCATTACAGCTAAGAAGAATGCTGTCACCTTTAAAACAAAACAGCAAACCTTTTTAATAAAACAAGAAGTAAAAACATCAGTAAATCTCTATATCAAGATGATGAAATTATAATTAAGAGATCATTAAGTGATCTGAATTGACATGATAATTTAGGAAAATACCAAAAATGCAATTTGTAGTTACAGTAAATGTACATGGTGGTCAAATTTACATTTAGAAATTCCATACAGAGACCTTTAATTCAGTAGCATAGCTCAAGTCCTCAGGTCTCCAATTCCGCCCCCCCCCCCAGTTTATTTAGCAAAATATGATTTCCTGGGCTGAATTTATCCAACTGTAAATGAGTATAAAATTAAAATGAGTATAAAATTAAATATCTTCCCTGCACAGCCCTCATTGCCTTTTTTTTTTTTTTTAAATTCTGCTCTGTACTTCAAGTACACAGTCACTAGATATTCAAAAGCACCAGGAGGCACAGCAAATGAATACAGAACTGATAGTTATGTCTTTGAAAATATTTGATAGCTATTAAAAAACTAAAGCTAGAATGACTGGCTTTTAATTAAATTTTTTAATTTAATTTGTAACATTACATTAAAAAAGATATAATTCTTTTCCTCTGTTACATAAAAATTTTCACTACTTAAAACCAAAACAAAAAATACCCCCCCACCCCCCCCACCCCCGCGCGCCCCACCCCCTCCAAGGACTAAACAAAAACTGATGATCACAATTTTGGTACAGAAATACAGAAAACATAAAAGTATTCTGTAAATATTAAACAGCATTTTGGAAAAACACACATAATACCCATTCCACATAATTGTATCAGATCTTATACCAACTTGGTAGTTATTTAGATATTGTAAAGGGTACTTTTCAGTTAATAAAAAGTCAAAAAAATCAAAGAAATGTTTTCATCCACTCAGGATAAGCAAAAATGTATTATTCTGTGTGATAAAATAAAGTAAAATGACATTATGTGTTGAAGTGAAGGGTAGAGTGGCAGGGGAAAGATGATGTCTTTGTTATCTTCTCCAAAATAATTTTGTTGGCCCTGGGATAGTCAATACAAAGGAATGAAATAATCCCCCCAGGTCTGGACTGAGGACCCTGTTTGTACCAATCACTGTCTAGCTACCACAGCTCCTTCTGTGGCAGTTAGACCCTTACAAAGAAGTGATTATTTGATTGAATCAGCAACTACCTAGACTCAACATTAAATGGGAACCTCGATGTTTAAATAAGTTCAATAACTGATTTCAATTTTAGTGAACTGATTCACTGAAAATATCAAGATTAATGTTACATAAACATCCATAATAGACATTACTCATGACACAAATCTGTATATTCTTGTACATTCACTTTTTCTCTTAAAATGACGTTGACCTAAATGTCTGAAAGAATCCAAGTATCTTACAACGTGAACTTCTATGCAGATCATACCACATTTCTTACTTTAGACAGCGGGAAAATCCATTATGAAAACTAAATCCAAGTACTTCCCTTGGGTTTCTTTTATCCTTCTACTAACATCAGTCAAGACGCATGTTTCACATCAAGAATGATGGGGTGCTCTCAGGCCAAGAGTGACCCAGACACGAGTTCATTCTGTAACTGGAGCCTGTTGTCTTCCCTTCCCTCACTTTCCCCCACCTCAAGACACAAGACACAGACTTCAGGTTTGGATGCTACAAGTATTACAGCTTCAAACTGAAGGGGCAACAAACCACGCAGAGGAAACCAACCAGAAATTGACCAAATAACCAAATGAAGGAACAGCAGTATCTTGCCTCCTCGAAATGCTTAGTATCCCACTAAAGAAAAAAAAAAACAAAACACGGGGGGGGGGTTGTTAGGTGGGTTAGGGGAGCTGTGTTGTCAGACAGAAGCAGCTACATTATCCCAAGTGAGGCTGAGGTGAGAGAATCAGAAGAGATGGGGAGGCAGAGAAGTGACGCGCGGGGGGCGGTCACCTGTGGGGCCACTGGCTCCAGCCCCGCCCCCCGGGCAGCAGTAAAAATCGTGGCCGGAAACCCCCAAAAACACGCCAGGGAAAGGCAGAGCTGGGGCCCTTTGGCCCAATCGGGAACTCACCGTCCACGGTTTTCTTCTTGAAGAGGGACGCCATGGTCTGAGACCGCGCCCGGGCGCCTGGGCTCGGCCCGGTCCGGCCCGCGACTGGGAAAGGACAAGTGGGGCAGACAGACCCCTGGCGGGTTCGGGGTGGCGGAGCGGCTACGAAGGAGACGGGGTCAGGCTCTCCGGGAAGGGCCCGCGGAGGGCGGGTATCCGGGAAGTCGACCGCAGCAGAATCGCCCGTAGCTCAGGTGACCGCGAACTAAGACACTTTTTGGAGAAGTCACTTCAAGGCGGCGCCTGCGCGCTGTGTGTGCGCGCCTGCGCACTGCGGCCCCTGAAGTCGCGCCGCTGCCCTCACCTCGGCTGCTGCCCGCTCCTCGCGCCTTTGGGGTCGCGGTGTGGGGAGTGTCAGGCCGGGGCGGAGGAGTCGGGGGCTCTGTGTGCGGCTTGCTGGCTGAATGCGGACGGAGATGAGCCTTGCTTAGCGCTTTCTTCCTTGCTCCAGGTGAAGGGGTAAGGAGGAAGAAGGGTTCCCCAGAGTCCTAGCACAAGTGTGGGTCTTCCCGTAACCAAATGATTTACGACCATCTAGTTGCTGTCAGTATGAATACTTTCCTAAGTGCAGGGACTCGTGGGAACGCGAGGTTGGTTCCCGGGTGGTGGTTGTCAGCAGAGCTCACGCCCTTTTCCTTCCTGACTTGCTCAGTGAGCTCCCTGGCGCCCGCTTGCGACGCCGCCTTCGGCACCCGAGGCCCGCGACCTGTCTCCTGGGCCCCGGGCACCTCCACCTGGTGCGGGGCTCCAGGGATCCAGATGCAAGGCTTGGAGGTGGCAGAGGGAGAAAGAAAATAGGGAGCAGCTTTCTCTCCTCACCCCCAACCTCAGCCTCAACCCCACCCCCAACCCAGGAGCAACTTTCTTAATGCAGCCCTTTCTACTTACTGCTTTTAGCTGGAAACTAAGAAAACACACGTATTGGTAAATCTGTTTCAGTGTCTCCAATTTGATTTCTTTAAAACCGCGATTTCTTGTAATTGCTCAAGAAAAATTCATGGCCGTATTGTGACCCTATTAGAATGTAACATAGTTGTATACTAGTGTTTAATGTGAAAAAAAATCCGTATCATGTTAAAGGAAAAACATAATGAATTATTTAAAGCGTTCTTGTGTGTATAAGCATAAGTACGGAAAATTTAATCTGCGCATCAAGACCTTGAGCATCGTTTTGAGAATGTGTGTACACATATCTCTGTTTAATATATTATTTTGCTATTTCAAAGCTTAAGTTTGCTTTGCACTTCTTTCCTCCCAGTCTATTAGTGTTTCAGGCAGCACTGCCTTCCAAAGGATAGGAAGCCTTTTTTTTTTTTTCCCATAGACATGGTATTTGCAAAGAAAGACACCCCAACAATACTGTCACTATTGTTGGTCACTCCTGGCTTTATGAATCATGTCTCAAGGATTTTTAACTGTTTAACTTCCCTTACCCATTTTTTACCCCGTATCACAAATCAAAGCCTTTAGGGCCACTGATAATCCTGCTGTTGCTGCTAAAATTTAGTTAATGGTCTACCAATGAAAACTTTCTCTGAATGACATAGTAATATGTATAATTACAATACAATGTGTAATCTGTTACTCTGGCACAAGTTATTCCAGATATTGAGGCAAGGTGAGGTAAGGAAACAGGAAAACAAAAGTAAACAAGAGATATAGCCTCTGAACAGGCCTGGTCTTTTCTGGAGTAAATTCTGGCTGCCTGTTGTAATGAATGGCATTGAGCTGTGCTTGAATGCATGAGAGGCAATAAGCTGTTATGTGAGTAGTAATCTTACTCCTCCCTGCTGCAGTCACCCTTGTTTTATTACTCCTACACAATCCCCCCCACTGACCCAATTGTAACAGTTGGGAAAATGCCAGAATACTTAGCAGCAACCATATGGAAGACCCTCCAAAAGTGCACAGCAGGAGCTAAAGACGGGGCTTGTTCATTACAATAAAGACAAAATAGAAATGTGTAGTATTTAAACTCAGCACTGTAATAGCTTAATTATTTCATAGTTTGAAGCAGGCTGATTTTCATAGACACTGGATGGATGGTGTTCATTCTGATCATTTGGTGGCCAAACTGTACTGGTAAGGGGCATGTCCACTTAAATATAACTGAGAATTAGGACATGAAGAAGCCAAACCTTAGAGTACAATGGTATTTTCCATTTGTTTAATATCACCATCTTGTACAAACTAATTGAATCAAGACACATATATAAGCAGAGTGAAAATATTTCAATGTTACTGCTTTGAAATCACATTAAGTAATAATAACATATCCCATGGTCACATCATTATGATTCAATACTCTTCTTCCTAACTGCTCAGATAGTGAAAAACATTCATTACATGCCTAATGACATGTACCTTGCTATGTGCTAGTGATGTACCAGTGAAGAAACACAGTTCTTTTCTCCTTTTTTCTTACCTACCTCCTAACACATTTTTTATTCTTACGTGTTAGTTACAATTCTGACACCAATTCTGATGTGTTCCCCCCACCCCAACCGAGCAATTCTCTCATACCAGCTCAACTCAATTTTCTCAACTCAACTCTGATGCTATCTACCTGAGATAGCAATAGATTCCACAGGTTAAAGGCTCAGTCCCAGAAGACTGCCCTGGTTTCAGGTACCAATCACAGGTCCACGATGTTACCTGTGTTTGTGACTCGCCAATGATAGTGCTAGCTCTGATTTTCAGTCGGGTTCATTCAATCCCCTCATCAGGGTTGATTAATTTACCAAAGCAGCTCATAGACCTCTGGAAATCATTTTACTCGCTAGATTACCCCTTTATACAGAAGATTTTAAAGAGTACAAGTGAACAGAAGATGATAAAGATATATAATGCTAGGTTCTGAATGCTGAAGTTTCTGACCTCATGGAGCTGCAGGCCCAGAAATGATTTCATGTGGCTGCATCTGGTTCACCAACCTGAAATTTACCAAACTCTGCCTTTTCCCCCTAGTTTTACTGGAAAAGAATTGCAGGTCTGCTAATCTTAAGTGGCCTGTTCGGCCACCATTTTTTCTTACCTGCAGTTCTGCATTCCTATACAAGGTCAGAACTGCCTGGTAAATCAGTCATGGAAGCCAAACCTTACAAAGGTGCCTTCAAATCAACCAAGAGCAGAAAGCTTGATCATTGTAGGGTAAGGAAAAATGTCAGGCTTTTCTGCCCTCCCACCATCAGGATAGATGATGGATCTTTGCAGTCCTGAATGCATGCCTGATGGCGGGCATCTGAAGTAGGGTGTGGGCAGAGGTAGATGAGATTCACCTGGGCTAAGACTGCTTTTAAGGGCGGCATCACGGGAACGCCAACAGAAGCCAAGAACGAACGGAAGCCGAAAGAAGAGAGAAGCAGAGAGAACACCAGAGAGCCCAGATAGAGTGAAGATTTGCTGGGGGCTGGGAGGCCTGCCAGCCTCCTTGCCTGCTGTGTACCGGGCAAATCCCAATAAAAGACCTGCAAAAACTACTGAGGAGTCTGACTCTTCCTTTACCCGGTCTGCATGGGATCAGAAAACCTGCCCTGTGGTCTTCCTGACCTTCCAGTCATTCTGGGAAGGCTATGCATCATGAGGTATGACTGGGAATGCTGGGGCTGAGGACCTGTGTATGACAAGGGACCCCAGAAGCTGATCAGTGGAAGATTGATTGATAAGATTGGAACCATGGGTGGGGACCTAGGGCTTGATCTCAATTACAATACCAAGTCATCAAGCAGATGAGAAGTGTCTGACGGGCAGACACACAATCTCTGATACTAGAGATGATAGAGCACATTTTCTAGTTTCACCCCTCCCTTTACTTTTTGTCCTCCTTCCCCTCACAACTGATTCTGTATAATTATTCTGTCAATAAAAAGGCCAGGATCTTGCTCTTCGGCATCATCCTGTGTCCTACAGCTTGCTCCACAACTCCCATTTGTCAGTACAGTGTTGTAAACGCAGTAAAGAATTGCTGTTCCTCACTGTATAATTTAAGGCACAAAGCATGATAGTTTGGTTTACATATATTGTGAAATGATAACCATAATGTGTTCAGCTAACATCCATTGATTTAGATTTATAGATTTTAACATTCTGTAGATCTATAAATTGTTTTGTGGTGATGAGAACTTGTAGGATTCACTAGCTGAACTATCATATCATTACTGCAGTGTTAGCTATAGTAAAATGATCATGTACATTCTAAGTACTTATTTATCTTATAACTGGAAGTTTATATTGTAGAAAGCTTATTAGAAGGGTGGTGACATTTTAAAATGCAGAGGGAAACACCACAGTAGAAAAAACTGTATTTGTCTTGCATTATCTTTGCTTTTTTTTTTTAGTAATACTATATATATATGTGTTTGAACGTTGCTAAGAGAGCACATCTTAAAAGTTTCCATAACAAGAAAAAAAATTTGGTATTTTGCATTATCTTTGGGGTGTGCCCAAAATCAATTGCCTTAAGAAACAATCAAACAGTTGTTTGAGAAGCCATGCAGATCACAAGTACTGATGGTTAAGAACTTTTTCCTAGAGGATAGAATCAGTAATCAATAATGTATAGCCAAGGATAGTTGAATCTTATTAATACTAATTAACTCTTTAAGCACTTGTCTCATCTTCCTCTTTTCTTCTCATAAAACCCCCAGACTTTTGTCCCTTCTGGGGTCCTGTTTTTGGTTACTGCCTGAATTTGTGTATCCAGAATTGCAGTTTCTTGATTCCCCAATGACGATTCTTTGTCTTTTAATGGACTCTAATTTTTGGATTAATGATACCTTTTAACCACCTTCCTCCAATTACTCCTTCCCCCATCTTCTTTCAGGTAATCACAAGTCAGATAATTTTTTCTATTCATTTAAGGACTTGTTATTGTTTTGTTTTAGATTCTACATATAAGTAGGATCTTGTAGTATTTGTCTTTCTCTGACTTAGTTTGCTTACATAATCCTTCAACGTTCATCCATGATGTCACAAATAGTAGGGTTTCATTTTTATGGCTGAATAGTATTCCAGTGTGTGTGTGTGTGTGTGTGTGTGTGTGTGTCTCCCACAACTTCTCTAGCCATTCATCCATCTATAGACACTTAGGTTGTTTCCATATCTGGGCTGTTGCAAATAATGCTGCAATGAACATGGGGGGTTAGGTATCTTCTTGAGTTCATGTTTCTTTTTCCCCTTGAATATATCCCAAGAGGTGAAATTCCTGGATCATATAATAGTGCTATTTTTAATTTTTTGAGACTCC